ACCCCCGGAAATCTACCCCCAGATATCTACCCCAGGACATCTACCCCCAGACATCTACCCCCGGACATCTACCCCCGGACATCTACCCCCGGAAATCAACGGCTCTTCGGTTAAGCATTGTCTTGTAATATCCAGTATTAAGCATGCGATATGTCATTGTCTTGTTTAACATTATCTATCTTCCTAATTCAATAAGCTGTAACAGTCCTTTTTTCACCCGACCTTCTTCGCCGATTGTTACGATTGAGGTGTCATTTTAAAGCTTAAGATCTTGCGCAGAGCAAAATGGCAATTAAAAAGGATATTTTGATTAGGGCTTCAAAAGGTTGACCCCTAAGCCTTTGATTTATTCCTAGAAGGTGCTTCCAATGGTTGACCAACTTTCACACTATACAGTTACAGTTTTAAAGGTGAAATGTGAGCAGATTACTAATCAGTTCCATTTTTAAGTCAGGTTGAAAACCAGAAGAGATCGTCTGCATCTGTAAACAAGAGATGGAACACTACCCCAAAACGACTTTTCGTTCTCAATTGGCCCTCTATCAATAACCTGTGTTGCCTGTACAGCGAGGCATTTTGAGAAGGAGAAAACCAGCCGGATGAATGCTTTAGGTTTATCAATAACGAAGATAAACATGGTTTTAGTTACACACCGGTAATCTTTGAGTTGACTCATTTAAACTCATTGTAAATATTCATTGTTATTCATTTTGAAATAACTCCTTTAATACTTTGCAATTGCTCGAATTCGAGCAACATGTACACTAAATACATATTATTGCACTTACGATTTATTTGATCCGTTTATTTACGTGAGTCACAACGTTTTTAATCTTACTTGGTTTTGGATTTTATGACAAAACATGATCGGAAATGGTTTGCAGTATTTGTAAACTAAATGTAATAACAAATTTCCAGTGACAGCTAGAAAAAAATCATCTTTATCCAGCTTTTCATCTTTCACAGCTGTTCGGTATTTCATTGATGTCGTATTCTCCAAACAAATTATTAGTATTTCATTAATTACTGGTAAACATTAGGAGTAGACTAAACTTGACAAAAATTCAAAAAATTGGGGGTTTGAACCAAATTTATTTTAATTCAAAAGTAGTTAGGCCATATTTTAATGGCTTAAGTTACTCGTGTCAATCCACCGAATCCAAAAAGGCTATTTAAATCGAATCACGATCGATGCTCTAGTTTTTGAGAAGAAGGCCACGTAAAATGCCTTCTGGGCCTTGACAGACAAGACAGAAATTGAGATAAAGACTTGTTTTGGCTTCTTTAATGTATGAAACGTAAAAATGACAAAAATAAATAATTTTAAGCAATGTTCATACTAAACTCCAATTTCATTAAAATAAATTTGTAAAACCAAAAGAACCATGAGGTAAAAATACCTTCCCTATCCCGAAATATCCAATTTTATGCTTTTACATTATTCTCCGTTATTTCACAACCAGCACTGACAACCAGAACCAATCATAAAATATGTTTATGTTTTATTTTTTACGATTATTTATATGTGTAAACAACTAGACTTTTTAGCCAATGTAAAACTCCGGATAGTGTCTACGACATAGGAGGTAATTACTACTTATTACTAGGAGGTAATTGATAATGAAAAAATTATTAATTCATTAATCTACCTGTGGCAGGCTTTTTATCAACATTTTATTGCATTTTTACCACTAGTAATCAGAAAATAACCTCCTTCAGTGATATGTTTTAAATTTCACGATCTGCGCTCGTGCATGTGCCGTTAGCTATGAATGTATGTGAAAATTGGTTAACAATTTAAATCACTGTCTGAAAATAAATCAAATGCTTATGGGTTACACTTTTGGAGCCCTTTATCAAAATATCCTTTTCAATTACCATTTGCGTTGCACTGAATCTTAAAGCTTAAAAATTACACCTAAATCAGTAACAGCTTAATTAATTGGGAAGATAGATGACATTAAACAAGACAACGACATATCACATGCTTAATACTAGATATTAGAGAGTAATTATTAAACGAAGAGCCATTGATTATTTTTATAAACCAATTACTAAAATCAACTACAACAATGAATATTGACCGATACGTAGTGTAGCACGGGGGGTAGATTTCTGGGGGTCGCAAATAAATAATTCCGGGGTCGGACATTTATGATTTGACCACTGGGGGTACATTTCTGGGGGTAGATTTCCGGGGGTGGATATCCGGGGGTAGATGTCTGGGGGTAAATGTCCGGGGGTAGATGTCCGGGGGTAGATATCCGGGGGTAGATGTCTGGGGGTAGATTTCCGGGGGTAGATGTCTGGGGGTAAATGTCCGGGGGTAGATGTCCGGGGGTGGATGTCTGGGGGTAGATTTCCGGGGGTAAAGTTCCGGTGTCAGGTTTATTAGCATTTTGATTAATTACAACTGTTAAGTAAACCGTGAAATGCGAGTTGATTGAATATACAATAATTTATCCATCCTAAAAGTTCGCGGCCGGAAATCTACCCCCATACATGTGACGTCAAAGTGACGTAGGCGTTTTTTCATGGGGGTAAATATCCGGGGGTAGAAATCCGGCGACCCTTTCACGGTATTCCCAGCCCATTTCTAAATACATTACCTCCACCGCAGCCAGCAGCAAACCTGCACACTAAGTGAATTTCAATTTGTTTGATTAGATTCTTATTGTCCATAAACAAGACATATTTATTCCCCATTTAAATAACATTAGATTTAACAAATACATAGAGTTTACTGCTACGGCGAGGTTAAGTGTTTTTTTTTTTGCAAAATATTAATAGTATAGGATGAAATCAATAAATTCGCCAAATATGATCAACATATTTATCACAATTGTGTTTTATTTGTACTTCAGGACACGTATCCTGTTGTGCTATTATTTGCATTAGATTATGTTTCTTCTTGTGCAATTTTGACGATGCCTACCTACACCTTGTTATATTTATAAACTGAAAACTTCAAATCTAATGATAAAATATGTGTTTATCGAGTTCTTTAACGCCAGTAATTCACTATAACGGGTTAAGAGCATTCATATAATACATTTAGTAAGAAACATTTTACATTCAATTGCAATCTTAATCCTTTAGAACAATATTATTTAATTATTTCTGACTTCATCGGTAGTTAAATGGATTTTCTATTGATACTTGATTTAAATAAGTACAAAGTTAGTATGGCCTCTTTTAAGTAGCGACATGAAAAGCATTTAACTAAGTTATGAGCAAAGTAAAGTGTTGTGTTTCAAAATCGTCACTGTGATGAGTGAGGGATATTCTCATTCCCGTTTCTCCCTGCACGTTGCCAAACCAACCTCCCCTTCCTGAGGAATCCGCCGTGGCAGTTTCAGTGTTTCTAGCATTCTCAAAAACACCCTTATAATCCTCACTAATTGGCGTGGCAGTTTCGGTATGGATTATGATCATAAAACGTCGTGGCAGTTTCGGTACAGCCCTTTAAAGAGTACCTAGGTTTGCTGCTACAGTACAATAAAACTAATAATGTGTGTTTTTTAGTAAGATATTGATAGCTTAGTATAACATAAATAAATTTGCCAAGTTTGGTCAAAATAAATCCATAAACAAGCAAACTGCAACATTTTACAATATTCTCCATAAGAATAACATGGGAATTTTAAATTTACAACTTTGTAAATTTTCTCCGTTACCAATAATCGAAAAAAATACTTTTATATACTAAAATATATTTTTTTTTAGCTCTTTAATGGGGTCTAAAGAGAAATTGGGAAATTTTGTGTTTTGAGGGTCAAAAGTGAGAAAAGCCAATTTTTACCCCATAAAAACCCCCCGTAAATCCCCGTTCCTATGGTCCGATCATGCTGGTTCGCGAACTCATTCAAGTTTATCCAGCTTTACACCTTTAAACCAAATTTCATCAAAATCGGACAAAAATTACTTAAGTTATCGCGTTCACGGACGTATATATATAAATTTGAACGAATGGTGTTTTTGCCCTCTGGAGACATCAAAATGAAAAAGTAAATCGGTCCCGGGTCTATGTCTTATCGTGCCACCTACGGTAATAGCTACTTCCCTATAGGGAAATTTGCTAAAATAACTTGGATCTTTCGAAAAAGAATGTTAACGCTTAATTTAGGGAAAAAACAAACACAACCACAAAAAACAGTAAACAGACAAAACTGGGGACTACAAATTATACAAGAGCAAATAAACAGGTCATGGTAAAATTTAAAACCAATTATACGACAGTGATGGATAATTAGAGAGTTGTAGCGGCACGCGCACACACGCACAAGCGCAAGCATGGCACACGATTCAGGAGGCGCAGCGCAACGCATTCCAACACGTTGCGCAGCGGAGGCGCAGAAGGCAAGGCTGGTGCTACTTCCTTCAATTGAGGGAGGGGAAGCGGTAGTGGATAGTAGAGGGGTACAGTGAAATGGAGAGACTAGGCCTAACCATTCCTAGTGATAGGAACATTCGAGGTTCCCTATTTGGTACTGTATTCTGGCGGAAAAGACATACTGTACACTTCATCAGGGTATTTCATGATGCTGTTGTACATCCATATTAGGTCCAGTTGCACTTTATCCTTGGGACTTTAATTAACAATAATAATGGATAAAGAAACAGATTGGCTTATCTTGTAACAATGCTAAATAAACCATCTATTGTTAATTTTATTTATATTTTACATTTTAACCATAATTTATATTTGGCCGTAAAATACGGCAGAGGCGTCCTCTCTCAGTTGGCGTTTAAAGTAAACCTAAAAAATATGTTAAAAGATATATATTAACCACGTGCTGGAGAGTGATATGTGAAATTCACTATCTAGGCATTTTGTCCGAGCACATACATTTTTATCCACTGTATATTATTGCATCAGAATGTGGTTTCAAAAAAGATTCATTTTATTTTTCAAAAGCATGACTGGAGAACATAAGTATTTCACTAGTATTCGACTAAAAACACTACGGACTTAGTTTTGAAAGAAGTGATTTACTTACATGAGTGAGGACATTCGGCCATTGTGGTCGCGTCAATAAAGTATCCATGACAGAGGACACACACTAGGTGCGGGTTGACCTCTGTCAGTCTGACACGGCTCCAGGTATGCTGCATCCTGTAAACATACATCAGAAGATATTAGTGGAGGAATGTCTACAGAAGAGAACATTCAGCCATTGTGGTCGCGTCAATGAAGTATCCATGACAGAGGACACACACTAGGTGCGGGTTGACCTCTGTCAGTCTGACACAACTCCAGGTATGCTGCATCCTGTAAACATACATCAGAAGACATTAGTGGAGGAATGTCTACAGAAGAGAACATTCAGCCATTGTGGTCGCGTCAATGAAGTATCCATGACAGAGGACACACACTAGGTGCGGGTTGACCTCTGTCAGTCTGACACGGCTCCAGGTATGCTGCATCCTGTAAACATACATCAGAAGACATTAGTGGAGGAATGTCTACAGAAGAGAACATTCAGCCATTGTGGTCGCGTCAATGAAGTATCCATGACAGAGGACACACACTAGGTGCGGGTTGACCTCTGTCAGTCTGACACAACTCCAGGTATGCTGCATCCTGTAAACATACATCAGAAGACATTAGTGGAGGAATGTCTACAGAAGAGAACATTCAGCCATTGTGGTCGCGTCAATGAAGTATCCATGACAGAGGACACACACTAGGTGCGGGTTGACCTCTGTCAGTCTGACACGACTCCAGGTATGCTGCATCCTGTAAACATACATCAGAAGACATTAGTGGAGGAATGTCTACAGAAGAGAACATTCAGCCATTGTGGTCGCGTCAATGAAGTATCCATGACAGAGGACACACACTAGGTGCGGGTTGACCTCTGTCAGTCTGACACGGCTCCAGGTATGCTGCATCCTGTAAACATACATCAGAAGACATTAGTGGAGGAATGTCTACAGAAGAGAACATTCAGCCATTGTGGTCGCGTCAATGAAGTATCCATGACAGAGGACACACACTAGGTGCGGGTTGACCTCTGTCAGTCTGACACGGCTCCAGGTATGCTGCATCCTGTAAACATACATCAGAAGACATTAGTGGAGGAATGTCTACAGAAGAGAACATTCAGCCATTGTGGTCGCGTCAATGAAGTATCCATGACAGAGGACACACACTAGGTGCGGGTTGACCTCTGTCAGTCTGACACGGCTCCAGGTATGCTGCATCCTGTAAACATACACCAGAAGACATTAGTGGAGGAATGTCTACAGAAGAGAACATTCAGCCATTGTGGTCGCGTCAATGAAGTATCCATGACAGAGGACACACACTAGGTGCGGGTTGACCTCTGTCAGTCTGACACGGCTCCAGGTATGCTGCATCCTGTAAACATACATCAGAAGACATTAGTGGAGGAATGTCTACAGAAGAGAACATTCAGCCATTGTGGTCGCGTCAATGAAGTATCCATGACAGAGGACACACACTAGGTGCGGGTTGACCTCTGTCAGTCTGACACAACTCCAGGTATGCTGCATCCTGTAAACATACATCAGAAGACATTAGTGGAGGAATGTCTACAGAAGAGAACATTCAGCCATTGTGGTCGCGTCAATGAAGTATCCATGACAGAGGACACACACTAGGTGCGGGTTGACCTCTGTCAGTCTGACACGACTCCAGGTATGCTGCATCCTGTAAACATACATCAGAAGACATTAGTGGAGGAATGTCTACAGAAGAGAACATTCAGCCATTGTGGTCGCGTCAATGAAGTATCCATGACAGAGGACACACACTAGGTGCGGGTTGACCTCTGTCAGTCTGACACGGCTCCAGGTATGCTGCATCCTGTAAACATACATCAGAAGACATTAGTGGAGGAATGTCTACAGAAGAGAACATTCAGCCATTGTGGTCGCGTCAATGAAGTATCCATGACAGAGGACACACACTAGGTGCGGGTTGACCTCTGTCAGTCTGACACGGCTCCAGGTATGCTGCATCCTGTAAACATACACCAGAAGACATTAGTGGAGGAATGTCTACAGAAGAGAACATTCAGCCATTGTGGTCGCGTCAATGAAGTATCCATGACAGAGGACACACACTAGGTGCGGGTTGACCTCTGTCAGTCTGACACAACTCCAGGTATGCTGCATCCTGTAAACATACACCAGAAGACATTAGTGGAGGAATGTCTACAGAAGAGGACATTCAGCCATTGTGGTCGCGTCAATGAAGTATCCATGACAGAGGACACACACTAGGTGCGGGTTGACCTCTGTCAGTCTGACACGGCTCCAGGTATGCTGCATCCTGTAAACATACACCAGACATTAGTGGAGGAATGTCTACAGAAGAGGACATTCGGCCATTGTGGTCGCGTCAATGAAGTATCCATGACAGAGGACACACACTAGGTGCGGGTTGACCTCTGTCAGTCTGACACGGCTCCAGGTATGCTGCATCCTGTAAACATACATCAGAAGACATTAGTGGGGGAATGTCTACAGAAGAGGACATTCTGCCATTGTGGTCGCGTCAATGAAGTATCCATGACAGAGGACACACACTAGGTGCGGGTTGACCTCTGTCAGTCTGACACGGCTCCAGGTATGCTGCATCCTGTAAACATACATCAGTAGACTTTGGTGGGGGAATGTCTACAGAAGAGGACATTCTGCCATTGTGGTCGCGTCAATGAAGTATCCATGACACAGATTACAGCACTAGCTAGGTACGGCTGGACTGAGGCTGTTCTAGGTTCGAAGTACTGTTTTCGGAAAATATTGTTGCAAGGCCCACCAACAACCTTGTAGTATTTAAATCATACACATTGTTACAAATAATTCCTGTAACATCAAGTCATTCTTTCATTGCAAAACAAGATGGCTATGCAAGAAAATTTGGGTAAAAATATGGTTTGAAATATTTAACGAATCTTCATCTAACAAAAACGTTATTGGAGACAACAAAAACAATCGTTCAATCTCAATTCCTCAAATACAAATCTGGTTAGGAGCACGTTGAACGGAAGTTATAATACTGGGGAGATGCTGTTTTTATTGCGGGGACAGATGCTATCCCCGCCCTCCCTAAAGCAACGTACCGCATAATAAGGTGTTTATTTAGCTATCGTGTAGGGCGGAAAAAACAAATCGTATAAATTAATAGTTTGTTTCATCATAATGTGAGCCTTAAGTGCCAATAACGTCGTCAGAAAGTATCAAACACGTATTTTTTTGTGGATTCATTAGTTTGTTCATAAGAGTAAAAATAATAATGGAATTATATAAATTGATATCATATGGAGTTGGTAACATCTTTAAATTGTCAACTTAGCACATTACGTAACGTGTTGTGAAGTAATGAGCAAGTTTAAAGGGTAAAACCACATAATAAAGTGTTAATTCAGCTCTCGCGTGGTGCGAATACAACTTTGTGTAGAACAACACATAAGTTCGTCAGAGGAAGTTGTGGGCTTTATTTTAGCACGAATCAACCAAGATCTTGCGTGGATGCTATTCACGACTTATTTATTGCTTCTAAAGCATGTACATTATCCTTTACTGCAATACATGCATTGTTATGTGTACACTTGAATGAACACACGCTGTATTTTTATCGCAAATTCATAATAGCCTATCATAAACGGTGAAATGAATATCATTCATTAATAAAGATGACACGTTTAATTTTAGTAAGTCACGCACATCTATGACAAAATGAACCACAAATTAGTTTCTTCATTTAAAACTTATCACGGATCACTCAAAAAATATAATTAACCTACTCCAAAAAATTGTTTGAAAGCTCTTTGCGTAAATTTGGAAATAATTAGGCCTAATAGTCATAAAGGTGTAAGATTTACAATTCAAATAAACAAGCGATCGGATTAATGCAATGTTTCTCAAAGTCCTTGACATTATGTTGTATCATGTTATTAGGATAATTCAACGATAATATTCAATAGATTCCATCGCGGCCTTCACAAGTACACAATCTAATACCATTAGAGGAACGTATAGATTATGCGTAGGCCTATCACTTAACATCCAACACTCTTAAGGCAGTGTTAGGTGTCCAATTGTCTATGGAAGTGGAATTAATCTCCATAATGTATGTTGGCCAACACAAATGGCGACACAGGAACTCCTTTTGAATCAGCTTGAATAGTCCAACGATATAAAGTTACATTGTTGGAATAGTCATGATAAGTTAACGTGGTAAAAAATACTTTGGTTTTTCGTAGTGGAACATTTTTAGTACAAAACTGTTGTCTTGAATTTATTGTTTATTCGTTACACTTCTTTTTAACGCTTTTAGAATTAAGTTTAGCTGCCAAAAAACTCTTGCTATTAATAAGTGACTGCCACGAACCGCCTTAGAACTAGTTTTCATAATTCTTTGTACTTAGAAAACAAAACAAAAGAAAAAGAAAAAAAATCTGTAAACTTTGTTTGTAATTTTTTGAATCTATTGGTCCTCGCCGACAAGTTTTGTAAACTTGGCGAGGCCATGCTTGTAATATCCTAAATAAATATATTTGCATTTGAAATAAGAGACCTATCTTTCCTCTACGAGGTGGCCACTGGGTCATAGAAATGTCAATAGTAAATGAACACATAGGTTTGGAATATACGACTTTGGACATAGCTTACATCTCTTTGATTTCCACCAGCTTATGCATAAATAAATACCTCTCCGACCATTGTAGAAATTGCTCCATACATTTTCTTTTATTTATTGCACCCTGTAAGCGCATTTAAAATGGGAGCGATTGCTTTGACTAAGACGTAGTTATGCTGTTTATTTTTTGTAAGTAAAGAGAATAAACATCAACATCCATGGTCAAAGCGATATTTTCCTACAGTCACCTGAAAAGTGGGCTTCCTCGCAGTGATTATAGCACGCCAAGTAGCTAATTGATGCATTTACTACTTAGAATCGGAAAAAAATTACAAATCAGTTAATTGTTTTAAAAGTATAAACAATATTTTGCACGAGTTCATAAAAGGACCACAGTATTGAAACTTATTCAAACATCGTGAACATCAAAGAGAATCAAAATTGACAATCCTCTCTTTAACTAACCAAGATAAGTTCGGCTGGTTCACAACGGGGCCGGAATGCCACGCAAGACCGATTCACAGTTGTCCACGGTAACGAGCGGCTCAGGTTGATTCACGACCGTCCCTGACTCGCCGACTCTCATTTTTCTTCTAAACTTTTTTCCGTCGCAAAGCAGCGATTTCCAACCCCAAAGAAATTACCCTCTCACTTCACCAATCCCCTCCAGTTCTGGAGCCGCGCCAAAATCGCTCAGTACATCGTTACTGTCACTGTCACGGTTCAAGTTTTGCAGCTCTAGTTGAATTGTTTCTTGCTGGCCTGTTATGTACATTTGGTTTGTTTGATTGTTAGATTATTTCGATTACATACTGAGGCCTATGCGAATGTTTTTGTTGTATATACGTTCTACGATAACGATTAAAACTATACCTACCATCTGTGCATCAATGAAAGAATCCTAGTTCGCCAAATATCCACGACCATTTATCCAAGTCTATAAAATTTTCATCCTCAAATTAGCCTAATATAGGTCTTGAATGAATCATAAATAAACGAACTCTCCACCCTTTCACGTACAAAATCCACTTTCATGTAGTAGTACTATAAATTATTCAAATCAAATCAAATCATTTATTCAGCCAGAATTAACAATATACAATTTGTATTGGCTAAGTCAAAATCAAACAAAAGCTGGATTCATATCAATATTTAATCAATATTCAATTATTAATCCTAGCTATCAAACCATTGTATCACATTTAAAATATACTTTTATCTGGATACGTAATACAAATTGAGTCAATAATACTTTCCTTCAATATTTCTTCGAGGGAGCATCATAACCCTAGCCGAACAATCATACCCTGTACTATTTGCTTTCATCTTGAACAAATATTATCCCAAAAAAACAAAATTTCCACAACATCGAATAGCGATCACGAATACTGTTCAAAGAATTCTCCCTCGTTCTCATAACCTAATTTGTTTTAATCTTGAATCGATATACGCCCAATACACCAAGTTTCACTGTATTACTTTTATGTACGGTAATCATAAATCCTATATGGTCAAAGAATTTTCTCTCGAACATTATAAATCATGGTCAACACATTATCTATTCCACATATCCCAAAAAAATATCAAAGTGAATCTATAATTATAAAAGAGGATGTTTGTATATATATATATTTGGCAGTGATAAAATCAGACACCGCTGAATCGATTGTCACGAAACTTGGTACATACGTGTAGAATTTCATGGAATAGGTTTATACACCATCAATTTCGTGATCCGTCCAATCGGCTCCGCCCCAGTGGCTCTAGAGTTTCCCATGTTAACCTTATGAGAAATGGAATTAATGAATCTTAACAGCTGTTTCAATTAAACAAGTTGGTTTTGTTCTATGATGTTCAATAGCATTAAAGTTACAAGGATTACCAACAGGGTGCAGCATTATTATTTCTTTTACATTTATGACAACAGCTAATTTGCAACCAAAAGGTGAGTGAGCATAGCGAACGAACTTCAACCTGGAGGCGAGTTAGCGTAGTGAACGAGCTAACTTGAAGGCAAGTGAGCGTAGCGAACGAGCTAACCTGAAGGCAAGTGAGCGCAGCGAACGAGCTCCAACCTAAAGGTGATTGAGCGTAGCGAACGAGCTCCAACCTAAAGGTGGGTGAGCGTAGCGAACGAACTTCAACCAGGTCGTGATTGAGCCATGCGAACGAGATCATCTTGAAAATTAAGAAGTTAAATGGGGCAAAGCCCGCGGGTAACAGCTAGTTTACTATAAATTCTAAACTGCGAAATATCTTTAATACTACTCATACAACCATTATTTCCAATCAAAGAATTTTCCCTCCTCCACATATTCCTGATAATAAAGCCTAGTCAACTCTCCTCCAACTCATCGTTTTCGTGTTCCGCTGTAAACCGTTTATCAGGAAGGCGACTCCCCACCTGTTAATCTCTAATCTGTCAACAGTTATCAACGGAGGTGTTAATGTTCCGGACCTCCAGCGAGGTGAGAGTGTGTGCGTGTGTAGAGAGGGATTATACGCAAGTACCACGGACACAGAAACACAACAGATGGTCGGTTTAATTTAGTAAGTGGGTGGGGGCAAGTGGGGGGGGATGGGGGGAGGAAACAGGCTGCAAGTGATGCTACAGAGGGGAAGTGCAATTATAATATTCCTATTTGAGGGGAGGGACGAAACATGTTGACTTACCCTTTATACTTTAACTAGCTGTGTGCCCGTTCTACGCACGGGGATCTTATAGTAGTAAGTTGAAACCTTCTTATATTAAGATTAAGAACAGCAATTAGTTTGCATATTTGCAGATATGCTGGCAAAACTATTATATATAAACCTTCGCAAATACAGTATCTGACAGTTCAAGCCAAAATAAATGCTTCGCAATTAAATGTCACCCGGATCGTGTTGGTCCA